GACTACACTAAATACTGTGGGCAACTGTAACACAACATTAAATATTTGTACATCTAAATATATCTAGACATCAAAAAGGGATAGTAAAAACAAGGGATAAAAGATTAAAAAATGGTTCACCATATAGGGCATGTACCGTGAATGGAGCTTGCAAGAAGTTGCTCTGGGTGAGTCAGAAAGTGAGTGGGGAGTGCATGTGAAGGCCGAGGACATTACTGTACACCACCGTAGATTTTATCAACGCTGGACACTTAGGATATGCTAAATTTATTTAAAATATTTTTCTTTCAATAAATTAATCTCTGCATACCATAACTTTACCTTATAAACAAAAAAAATTAACTTAGACTCTTTGGTAGTAATGCTTAGCTTAAAACATACATTGTGCAGCTGTACAAATATATTTCCTTTCCTTACATCCTTATTCCATAAGCCTTTTTAAAATTGTTTGCTTTTAAGAATATTTTTGTTAAAAGCTAAGACACAAACAGACACATTATCCTAGGCCTTCACAGAGCCAGGACCATCAATATCATGACAAGATATCCACCTCCACATCTTGTCACAGTGGAAGGTTTTCAGAGGCAATAACACACAGGGAGCTGTCATCTAGGATGACAATACCTTTCTCTGGAATACCTCCTGAAGAACCTGCCTGACACTGTTTTACAGATAACTTTTTTAAGAAATAAGTAGGAATAAATTCTAAAATAACAATTAAAATACACAAATCAGTAACACAGTCATTTATGAGCAAGTATTCTATACTGTACATAATTGTGTGCGTTATACTTTTACATGATTGACAATTCAGGTTTGTTTACACCAGCATCACCACGACCATGTGAGTCACGCATTGCACTATGATGTTAAGATGGCTATGACATCACTAAGCCACAGGAATTTATCAGATCCACTAAATCTTACAGGACAACTGTTGCATAGGCATCAGTCATTGAGTGAAATGTCAGTATGTGGCATAAGACTGTATACAGTTTTGGCAAAACCATAATCTCTTTTGAATATAATAATACACATGGGGAATACATCAGTTGTATTTTTTTTCTTACAGATACCATTTTTAAAGGCCTCTGTCATGCTACTCAAATCTGCACTTGATTCTCCAGGCTTCTGTCATCCTAGACTTCCCTTCGTCACCCTGGAAACTCCCCCTCCTTCTCTACTCCATTGAATCCCTTGTTTCCGTGAGTATCACGTTCTTCTCTTTCTTCAATTACTTCCTTATTTTTAGTGATTCACATGCACCAGTAACTTTTTCAAAATGAGTATCTAAAAATATTGTGATTCTATCCTAAAAAACAATTGGTATTTGAGCCAGGTATAGAATTCTATCTCAGAAATGATCTTCCTTATCAAAGTTTTAGGAACTTCCCTATTTGTTACTGACTCTCAGTGTTACCCTTGCGAAGCCCAAAGTTATCCTGATTCCTGTTTCTTTGTAGATGAATTCTATCTCCTTCCTAATTACTAGGTACTTGCAGAATATTTTTTAACCTGCTATTCCAAAATTTCATGATTCGCCTTAGTGTGTTCTCTTTTCGTTAGTCATGCTGAGTTTTCAGTGTGCACTTTCTTATTAATTAAACTCATTTGTTCCCTTTTACCTCCACACCCATCTTCTATCTCCTTGCTATAAAATTATCATTATAGTAAAATAAAAATTTAAAAAATATTAAAATATATTTAAAATGTGCCTTTGATTTGAATGTATTTTCACAAACTGTATGTTTTGTGGGCATGTATTTTATGTAATTGGTATCATATCACAGTGATTCTTTTCACTAAACTCTGTGTTCTTAAATATCTTCTGTTCCACGTGTACACAGTATTTGTTGGCTCTGTGCTACATACGATGCCATAGTACATGCTGCAACATACTACGCCGTGGTATACATCCAACATTTTACCTAACTCCCCAGTTATGGACATCCAAGTTGCCTCCAGCTCCCCACTACCATGAAACAATGCTGGAAAGAACATCCTTGCACCTGTCTCAACACATCTTTTCATCTGGTGATGTGAGTCTTTTGGTTCTAGGAACACTTTTTGTATTTTTGTTAATTTCTTCCTTTCCATTTCTCTGTTCTTTTTATAGAACTCCTATTATAATTGAATGTTGGATCAATCCTATTTTGCTATTCTATTTTCTAGGTAATTTCACCAAATGTATATTCCAAACATTTATTATCTTTATTACATTCTTATATTTTTACATTATTTCATTTTTACATTTAATGTAAATTTACTTTGTAAAATGAATGTGCATTTGACAGTAATTCCAAGAGCCCTTAACCTCTGAATGTTTTTTAAATATTACTGGCCCATTATTCTGTAAGTGAAATGATTTCTACCTCCGCAAATATAGTTTTTTAAAGTTGTCTTCTACTCCCTGCATTGTTCATATTCCCTCAATTTCCTTTTTTTCTATTACTTCTTGCCCTTTCGTGTTGTGCATTTTCTTCAAATGCTGATGATCCCTAGCTGTGTGTTCATATTTAAGAGCATGGTACAAAAGCTCATTGGCAACTCTGTATGTACGCCTGGAGCTTTTGGAATGGTGCGTGTAATGGGATGACCGGAAGCCCCCCAAAAGATGTGTTCACATCCTAAGTCCTGGAACCTGTGAATGTTACTTTATTTGGAAAAATAATCTTTGCAGATAAAATTAAGTTAAGGATGCTCAGATAAAAGATCATCCGAGCTTATCAGCATGGCCCTAAATCCAATGACAAGCAGCCTTCCAACAGCAAGGCAGAGGGAATGTGCACAGAGACACTGAATAAGAGCAATATGGTCGTGGAGGCGGAAACCAAAGTGACGTGCCTATAAGCCAAGGAAGGCCTGGGGCTGCCAGAAGCTAGAAGAGAAAGAAAATCACGTCTCCTTTAGAGCCCTTGGAGGGAGCACAGCTGGATTAGTCCATTTTCATGCTGCTGATAAAGACATACCTAAGACTTGGAAATTTACAAAATAAAGACATTTCATGAACTCACAGTTCCACATAGCTGGGGAGGCCTCACAATCATGGCGGAAGGTGAAAGGCACGTCTCACATGACAGCAGACAAGAGAAGACAGCTTGTGCAGGGAAACTCCCCTTTATAAAATCATCAGGTCTCGTGACAATCACGAGAACTACACGAGAAAGACCCACCCCCATGATTCAATTGCCTCCCACTAGGTCCCTCCCACAACACCTGGGAACTGTGGGAGCTACAATTCAAGATGAGATTTGGGTGGGGATATAGCCAAACCGTATCAACAGCCCTGCCAGATTTTGGACCACTACCTTCCAGAACTGCAAGGGAATAAAGTTTCTCTCACAGTTTTAAGCCACAGAGCTATGTAATTAGTTGCAGCAGCCATAGGTAATGAATACAGTGGGTCTCACCAAAGGTGATGAAGTGGGTATCTGTTTCTCTAGTCTTCCCCAGATATCAGTTTAAATTGGTTCCTTCTCTTCAGACAGACAGTTTCCCCAAAGAGGAATCCTCTCCACTCCTACCAGATTGCGGTATTTTTAAGAGTCAAGCAGGAGAAGTGGGCTGGACTGTTCACATTCGGTTTGGACTTTCATTTAGCCCTACTGTTTTCAGTACCACATATCGACACCAGCCTCAAGTGTACCTGACCGGACCATTCCAGGCTTCTCTGATTTCACATCTAGAGATGAAGTCTCGTAACTTTTGCTAGGGTGGGGGTTGGGTGAAGCCCATATTCTCAGAACCGCCTGGAGATTAGAGTGGGGTGGAGCAGGGAGGCTCACGTTCCTCACAAGGACTTTCCACCACTCCTTCCATCTTGTTTTCAGCACCACGTCTTCCCCAGCTCTCAGACCTGCCTGGTGTCTAATTCCTGAGCCTTTCCCGAACTCCTCAAGACAGTCAGTCTGCTTTTTCACCGGTATTCCGCAGTGTAAACAATCACACTTCAGCTTTCCTACCACTGTCGGCCGCCAACTTTTGCTTGTTCCCTTTGCCCTTGTTCTCTTCTTAAAATTTATTTTCTCTGTTAGTGGAGTTTCAAGAAATGACCAACTTAGTTCAATCTGCCACGTTTAAACAGAAGCGCCACCTTATAAATTTTCATTTGAAGAACGTACGCCACTCTTACAGAAAGTTCAGTTTTGCTTAGAAAAAGGTAAGAATCGCCAATATATAACCCCATCTCAGCTATCCTGAGACATTACGTTATCATTTCTTCACACTCCGTGACAAGTCCCATTTTTTCATCTTCGCTTGTGGTGTGATGTTCCCCTTCAAGCGTTCACTCCCATATCGTCTATGTAATCCTACTACATATTTCATAACCCAAGCACAATCCCAATCCTTCATGTAACTATCCCTGATGACTTCAGACTACATAGATTTGTCCCTTCCCCAAAACAAATGACTATATCTTGGCTAAGTCAATAAAAGGACTCCTATTCTCTGTTTCATGTGTTTGTATCATCTTCTTGGCAAAACATGTCTCCTAAGAAACCACACCTTCTACTTTGTGTGTTCCTGGCAATGCTTACCATGGTATTGGACATCAAATAGTTGTAGATTTGTATAAACTAATTCAAGCCACAAATATGAGACTTGAAGCCCAGTACACTACAGAGAAAGAAGCTTTTGAGGGAAAGCCTGTGTCTAATTCGACTTCATTTCCCTAAAAACCAGCACAGTGTTTGACATCCATCTCTGACTGCTGAGTTACTGAATAAAAGCATGGATGGATAAATGAACTCTCACTAGATACTGTGTTCAGTGTTGTGTCTGACATCAAGACTTCTTAATTCCTGAGAATAATCAAGATTATTAGAACGAGGGTTCACTACCACACTCCCAGCATCTAGAAGGCATTTGGCACAGAGGAACTGCTCAGTAAGTGTCTTCTAGATGAAGGTTAAATGAATGAATATGCCGTGAGTCAGGAGGCATTCGTTTACAGTTCGCAGTCAGCAAATGAGTTAAGAAGAGAGAATCATCTGGCTCACCCGGAAAGCACTCCCAGGACTAGGTTGAGAACAAAGAAGGATCCAATGATGATGAGGGGGATGAAGTACAGCCAATTCCAGGTGGCTCCTAAGGCATCATTGGTCTGAAAGAAAGAAAAAATGGTTCCTTAATACTTAAAGCCATCTTCCATAAGTAAAACTCACATTCCTGCAGCTTCACACAGAGGGTGACGTAACAAGTGCAATGTAATACAGTTAAACACTGCCTCACTCCGTTCTCAGTTTGGTATGACCGTGAGTTAGCTCACAACCTCCCATGTACGTGAAGAACAGAGCATCAGCCTCACCGTAATACTGAGTTGGAATATCCTCACGTGCTAGCTTAGCACACGAGAAGACAATACAGAAAGGTCTGATACTTTTCCAAGCTCACACAAACAACCACCGGTCTTGTAGCGTTGGGTAATGTGCACATGAAATTAGGGAAATTCTTAAAAAGACCAAGGCAGGCTGTGCCCAATCTATTCCATGGAGGCTAGCAAAGGCCTTGACCGGGTTGTTGGGGAGAAATTTTAGGGTTTTCTGCGTCTTCCTCAGCCCTTGACCCGGCTCCGCCTGCTTTCTTCCATCATAGTACGACAGTACAGAGCTGGCCCAGACCTGGTCCCAGCAAGGCTCTAGCCCGAACACGGAATAAACCTAGATTTGAAGGGTGATCACTTGCACTCTCTCTAAATGCTAACACTCAGTGAATGAATAAATGCCTGCAAATCCATATTCTGGATTCTCGAACCATGAATCGGATGCGAGACCCTTGCATGGACAGGGACTGAGGAAGAATTCTATCTCATGACTTAAACAAAGGAAGCGATTCTTAGCAGGATGTCTTATTAGAACCTTGAACTAGAGCTTGGGAGTATTTTGAGAAGTCCTCTAACAGTTACACCACTCAACTAAGGGTTCTCAGTGTTCCCCTTGACTCCTCCTCCCCCGACAGCACCTTCAAGTCTTTCCAAACAGTCTTCCTGAATTGCATTTCACATATGCAGGGCTTGAAATCCCCTCAACCCCAACTCCACTTTTTCACACACAAACTTAAGTCCCATTTGTAACTTAACAGGTATTTTATCTCTATTTCACTGGAAAAAGAAGGCCAAAGTCAAACGTCATGCCTAAAACTCACACGCTAAACTAGCAAAATTAAGATCAGAACTCAGAATTTCTATGGCAAAATATTTCTTGTCCCTCTAATTTACCTTTTCCCCCTCTCACTACTAAATTCTGAAAACATATTTCGATTCATTGCCTTCATGCTTCCTGTGGACTTCTGTGACATTCTTGTTTTCTCCCCAATTATCTCATTTCTCTCTACCTCCCATTCAAATATACCAGTCTGCAGAATATAGCCTCTTACCAATCATGACACCTATCACTGTAGTCATCCAGTAAAAACAACTTTTTTAACTTTTCAGTTCAGGGGTACATGTGCAGGTTAGTTATATAGGAAACTCAGGTCACAGGGGTTTGTTATACATATTACTTCATCACTCAGGTATTAAGCCTAGTACCCAATAGCTTCTTGATCCACTCCCTTCTCCCATCCTTCACCCTCCAAAAGGCTCCAGTGTGCTGTTCCTCTCTCTGTGACCATGTGTTCTCATCATTTAGCCTTCACTTAGAAGTGAGGACATGCAGCGTTTGGTTTTCTATTCCTGTGTTGCTTTGCTAAAGATAATGGCCTCCAGCTCCATCCCATGTTCCTGCAAAGAACACGTTCTCATTCTTTTTTATGGCTGCATAGCGTTCCATGGTGTATACATACCACATTTTCTTTAACCATTCTGTCACTGACGGGCATTTAGGTTGATTCCATGTCTCTGCTATCAGGAATAGTGCTGCAATAACCATATGCATGCATGTGCTTGCAAAACAGAATGATTTACATTCCTTTGGGCTGTAAGCAAACCCAGTAATGGAATTGCTGGGTTGAATGCTAGTTCTGTTTTACTAAAACAGCTTCTAAGGCAATCTCCTTTCACCAAACTTGTCTTTTGTTTTGCCCCTACACTATTTAGAGAGAGATAATTGCAATTGAAGCAGAATACACATTAAAAATAAACAAGAAAACACTTTCTGAATGGGAAGAAACAGATGCAGGAACCTGACAATTTCAGTGTGTAAGATGGAGCTCTTTGGTTCAATCAGGTCTGGTCAGTTAAATGCAATCAGGGAAGACATGGGCCAGACCTCAGAGGAAATTGTTCCTGCATATTAGTAGAAAGATGCAGAAGAACTAGATGCCAAGAGTTGTTGAGGGTTTTATTGGAGGTAGGGAGCCATTTTCTCTGGGATCGTTAAGACACGGACCTTCCCTATGAGCTGAAAAAATGAACCGCAATGATCTTTGCATAGCTAGCTCTGGGTTTATTCATGACTATAAATCAGTCCTTCTGTAAGGCTGGCTAGCTTTAATAGTTCACCTGTAGAGCTGCGGACTAATAGGGTTTATTCACCCTACGGCTTAGCCAGGGGCCAAACCCCACCACCCCCCCCAGCATTCCTTGGCAACAAAAACTGAGTCTACACCGAGCACCCAGATAGGACTTGCTTGCCCATAAACATTAGCAGGTATCAGCAACAGCAGTGATGAAACTGTGACTGTTAAGACATTTTTGTTCTCAAATAATTGAGCTACACTTTGAGGGTGGCTCAGAGCAATTTCACCTGGGTGACTACTCGTAAGGGACGCTGTAAGGAGGAGGTCCAAAATTACATTGTTCTCATTGCTAGAGATTTGTAAGAAGTTAACGTGTTTTGTGGAAAAGGGATTTCTGTAACCAAAAAAATCTGGGAAGCACAGATTACATTTTCTTCTGTGCCTGTGAGAAGATCCACACACACCAAAAACGTTATTTTCCTTGTTTATTCTATCATTTCATAATTGCTTTTGAACATGGAATCCTCATTTTCAGAGAAAATCTAGTAACACATCAAGGAATCCAGTCTACGAAAGGTAGGAACTGAAGTGGGCCAGAATCTTGAATGAACCAAACACCAGTGATGAGCATTGTCTTTTAATTCAGCATTTTGTGAGTATGTTTTGGTTTTGCTTCAACCTATATTCAGGCAGAAACCTTACTGTCTGCTCATTTCTGTATCTGGCACCTAACAAAGAGTTTGGCCCATACAGACGGTCAACTAAGCAAAAAATGTCCACAATTCTAATAAGAAGATCCTCCTCTTAAAAATACCAACCCAAACGCCCAACGATGATAGACTGGATAGGGAAAATGTGGTACATATACACCATGGAATATTGCACAGCCATCAAAAATGATGAGTTCACGTCCTTTGTAGGGACATGGATGAACCTGGAAACCATCATTCTCAGCAAACTGACACAAGAGCAGAAAATCAAACACCGAATGTTCTCACTCATAGGCGGGTGTTGAACAATGAGAACAGGTGGACACAGGGAGCGGAGCAGTACGCACTGGGGTCCGTTGGAGGGAAATGGGGGAGGGACGGGGGGTGGGGAGGTGGGAAGAGATAGCATGGGGAGAAATGACAGATACAGGGGAGGGGACGGAAGGCAGAAAACCACACTGCCATGTGTGTACCTATGCAATAATCTTGCATGTTCTTCACATGTACCCCAAAAGCTAAAATGCAATAAAAAAATACGCTGATACAATTCATTCAGATGATAGCCCCCTCTCAATCTGTAGAGATTTCTCTGAAGTGCTGCGAACGTCACCCACCACGGTGTTGGGGCCTGCTGGATGAAAAAACAGGATGGGAACTAGAAGGAGAAATAGAATAGCTGGGAAGACACCAGCACCAGCAAGGCCCTGGGGGTTCTGAAGACGACTGACAGCTTTAAAGATTCTTCTGGAGATTCTTCTTGACAACTCCCCTGGATTATTCACACGGCTTTTAATAGGCCTGCCCCCCCCCCCGCCACCCCAACATCTTGCTCCTCTCCCTCCTGTTCCATCCTTCCTGGCCAGGTGGCCTCCACTCTCCGTGCGTGCCTGTCCATGGGTCAGTGACACACCCAGTAGGACAAAGGGACACGCCTCAGCAGGAAGCAGGCAAGCGAAGAAACGCACGCTTCCTCCTTCAAAATAGCAAGGTTCTTTCTGATGCCAGTTAGGGCTTCAATCTCCTTCTGATTCATCATTATTAAAATAAAATTGTTCCGTGTAGGAGAGACGACTCAAGTGTCCTTCGAGATTAAAAAAGCAGCAGCATTCGACAACCCGAGGCAGCAAGTGTCCAGAAGGCACGTGAAGCGGGGGTCGGGGTGAAGTTGCCAGTTCAACAGCGGAGTTGTGACTGTTTTCTCTCTTGTGGTACGCACGTGTCTGCCTCAGCAGGAGGTGCAAGAGAGAAGGGTTGCCTGTGAGAGGGAGAATCACTCATCCTCTCTCTACAGCATCCCCACTTCTGTGACAGAGTGGCAGTTATCACAAGCTCCTTTCATGTAAGACTTGCACTCTATTTTCCCCAGTGACAGCGACTCTTCCTTCAGGAACACCGGACAGCCATGATAAGTACTCCAATCAAGATCCTGACCCCAGAAGAAGCTTCAGAACCCAGACCTCCACTGTGGAGTGGCTAAGGGAAACCAGGGCCCTCCCTGAAAAGAATGCTGCCCAGAGATGCCAGCCCCTCCATCCCACGCCACTCATGGAACACCTACCATAAGTCAGGCATCACAGAAGAGCACTTCTGTTTGGTCATTGTCCTCTTACATGGGGCACTGAGGCTCCTCCCATCTCCCAACATCCTCCCCGCCCAGCCCTCCCCTAGACTGGCACGCTGGCCGCTCTCCATCTTCCTCACCTGCCGATCCCCTGAGCGACACACACAGGCACACGTGCGCATGACGAGGGTGATGACAGAGAAAGCAGTTCGGGGGCGGTGGCCCACCTGCACAGGAGCGCTCAGCAGGTTACCAGTCCTGACACTGTGGGAATGTATTCCTTTGGGAACCTGACTGATGGGGGTGGTGAGCTCACCCACTCCCTCCGTAAACAGGCACACGTGGCAATTATCACATTAATCTCCAGGGGGTTGGGGAAGATGCTGCAAGGTGGGGTGGGAGGAGCAGGATTGTGGAGAAAGATGGAGATAGAGC